AATCATTTGAATCTTGTTTCCATGGCAGCAGGTAGCGCACAAATGATCCATGATGGAAAATACGCGTTCTGCAGACTGCGCAAAAAAATCGAGTTGAAATTTGCCGTGTCGAGTAGCATATCCAGTGCTGGCAAACCGTCCGATTTTTCGGACAGTGTCCGATTTTTGAAGGCTCTTCCGAAAACCGGTCCGAAAAGGGAAACGTCCGAAAAGCAGCAAAAATGTCGGAGATCATTACTTCCCTATGCAGAAGTCCTGTACTTTCACTTTTCAGCGCAACTGAAGGCACAAATCACCCTATATTTGCTTCTAAAAAGGCTAGCGCTTGGCTGTGGATTGAGGAAGTGCAAAGTAACATGCCTGGATCAGGCTGGATGGCATGTACGCTGTCAGTCTGTACAGAGTCAGTGTGCGACCACACTCATCATTACAAAATTCATTCAATGTGAATGCATTGCGAGAGTTGGCAATCTCGGAGGGCCGGCTGTGAGGTTTTGGAGACGATGGTGGGCAGGACAGTGCCCTTGTATTTTCCTGTTTTTTGTTTGTTTGTTTTTTTGCGTTTTTTCACACATACAATTGTTGTCATTTTTTGGTGTTATGTTCTAGTCATTCACAAAATTCATGACAATTCCGGGGTTACCATGGCAACAAAGCGAATTTTCATGGTGTTTTAGGCGATATTTTGAATTCTCTTTAAAAAATTGCGGAGGAGAAAGTTCGCACCATGTGGCCAGCTTTGGCGGTGAAGGGTGTCCGATTTGGGGCGAAAATTATTTGGCAGCACTGCATATCTCAACAACCGGTAGTCGCATCGCTTCGGCGATTGTTTCTATCGCCAGCTGAGAGTTTTCTCTTGCAGATACATGTTTCGATTGTGAGAATCGACCAGGTATTGAGTGAGTTACGATAGTTTGAACAAGTCACTATGGACTCAACACGGACCCCACGACTATGAGATGCAGGTTTACTGTACAGTGTACAGCGCGCGTCGTACTAGTACGACGGCCGTGGGGCATGCAACTCATGTGCGTCGTACTAGTACGACGCTCGCGCTAAAGGGGTTAAACAAAAACTCCTGCGGAGTAGAAAACATTGGGCTAGATGGGGCAAAGGTAGTTAAAACACCCATTCTCACATGATCTCAACACTGAGCACCCTCCAAGTTGGAAGGCTGTTGTTGTGTGCATTCGAGACGGGATGGAGCTAAATTTTAGGTCGTTGAGTGTCAGCAAGAATAGATAAACAAGAGTGTGCAACTCCGGATCTCTTCTGCACAATCTGCAGATACCCCCGCCCGTGGCGGATTTTTTGTTGACGTCGCTTTTTTTCAGAAAAACGTGCATTTTGCCGCAGAACAGTGCGAGAGCACATGCTGGGCACCGACCTTGTGATGAAAGCCCGGCCAAGTGTACGAGGCAAAGCTTTCCAAAAGACTCGCAGCGTGTGCACCGTCGGAAGGATTACGTCAGCAAAAAATTCCGCCGCGTGCCAACCCATCCCGGAGTTGCACACTCTTATTTATCTACTCTTGGTGTCAGTACCACGGCAATCATCATTCTGCTAACTATTGCACATTGTAAATGACCAGTTTGTCACTTGTACTGTTCAGTGTGAGTGTGTGTGTGTGTATGTATGCATGAGTGTGTGTGTGTGTGTGTGTGTGGTGTGTGTGCGGGTGTGTGTGTGTGTCATGGTACATGGTGTGTGTATGTGTATGTGCATGTGTGTGTGTATGTGTGCATGTGTGTGTGTGTGTATGTGTGCATGTGTGTGTGTGTGTGTGTGTGTGTGTGTGTGTGTGTGTGTGTGTGTGCATGTAAGTGTACTTGGCAGAACACATCCATTTTTGTAACTCGCGTTCGCGTTCCTGGATTCGATTTTTTGTTTTTGTAGATCATGGCAACATCAAGTCATGAAAGAGAATTATTTATGTGGTTGTTGTAAAAAGCCAGCAGACACAATGAAAGAGGATCTAGAAAGAGAATGGCTGGAACGGGAAGCCAAGGTAAGACAAATTAACGAAAATTTCTTGTCGCCGCAATCCTGATCCATGTCAACTTGGTTCATTTGGTGCAATCCTAGCACAATTTGCTACGTCTTCTGCTGTAGAATTGCTATAATCACCTCTGGCTGTGTGCGTCAAAAAGTCAAAAGGACAATGGTGTGTGTATGTGTTTTTCGCAAGTACTTGTGTTAATGGAAAGCGTTAATGTACATTTATGCCTGTATACACACTGTGTGTCTTTGGTCTGATCGTGCCCAGCTGAACCAGGAGATAGAGAGGCTGAAGGAGCACCATGGAAGAGTGGTACAGAATGGGATGAAAAAACAGCTGGACCATATTGTAAGAAGCTATACTCAATTTCCCATTACTTGATCCTTGCTGAACCACTTTGCGTATTACGAATTCTGAAGGACACCTAACGCAGCTTAGGAATTCATAAATCATTTGCAGGCAATTCTCTACTAAAAGTAAGCACAACACGTTCACATTCAATCTGGAAAATTTGTCAACGTTTCGTTCTTTGTGGCCAGAGCCGGAATGGTTCTCCATGCATCATTGTGATGCCATCAATCATAGAACTCCTTTTCAGCATAGGGATAAGTGTTATGTTTCGTAAAAAAAGAATTGGTCCTCACCAGAGGAGATCAGGTTCGGGCAGTGCCCAGCTCTGGACGGCCCGGCTAAGAGTGAAATGAATGTAGTGTTGAAGTTCCAACCTTTCCCATGTTCATCGCTCTTTTGTCCTCTTACTACGTTGTACGTTCTAATTTTTTTCTCATGCTTTGTCCCTCCGTGTGTGCTTCGACACGCCAGAAGGCACTGACAAAGGAGGTGGCGCAGCTCAAGCAAGCCGAGAAAGAGGTAATGTGGGCAAGTGAAAGAATAAATGTCACGGGCGTCGGAAGGCATTTTAGTGTGGTACGTTCAGCCATCTGAAAGCACAATTTACTCGTGGGGGAGGGACGGCTGAGCCGAAAATTTTGGAAATTTAGAGCCCAAATCAGTGCATTTTATTGATTCACGGGGTACTTTGGGCAAATAGTGGTACGGTCAATACCGTAGTGACCGTACCGTGTGCGACGACCCTGAATGTACTTATTATCTGTTAGCACACGAAGAGATTAAGCCAGCTGTAAACCTGATGAGGCCTTTCGAACCATTGCTTCTCAAATCACTACAATCATGATGATGATGTAACGAAGCACAACAGTCTCAATTTATACAGCATATTGGCAACAACATCGCGATGAAACGTACACAGGCTGAATAATGGAGTGAGTGATATGCTGTATAAATTGACATCGTTTTGCTTCGTCACATCATCACCATGCACTGATTTGAGGAGTAGTGGTACAAAAGGCCTCATCAGATTTTCGACTGGCTTCGTCTCTTCATATGCTAATATGTTTGCCAGGTCTTCCAGTACAGGTGGTCTTCCAGTACAGGTGGTCTTCCAGTACAGGTGGTCTTCCAGTACAGGTGGTCTTCCAGTACAGGTGGTCGCCTTATCCGAGTGGTCACCCACACAGGTTTTAATGTACCAGTAGACCATAATTTGATTTCGAGAAGGATTGGGTGAACTTCAAATTCAAAGAGTCAGTCAAAAAGTGAACTTCCTGGAAAAAATTAGAGCATTGCTCATGACAAGCAAGGTCCCGGATTCGAGTCCTGGTGGGTCTGGCGTATTTTCTCTTTTCAGGTAGTTCACTTCCCCGACTGATACAAAAATTAGAAGTAGTTTTAATTAACCGTCCACACCGATTTTAAAGAAAGCTGCGTCGTAATTCTATCACTGATGCGTGTAGAAGCCATATGCATTAGAAAACTGCTGCTCCGGAGGCCGGTTGATATGCGCTGTAAAGTATACACGGCTAAATCGAAGCTCGAAGCTCTGATATGCAATTTCACAAGTGACGATGCATTGTGATGGGAAGTGTGGATTGTATGAGGAGCGGAGAGCGGGTACATAACAGTCCCACCCTGGTGCCCTCCAAATTGAATAAGATAATAATTATGTAATGCGCTGAAATTGGGTGAAGAAGAAACTAGAGATCCCACGTTTGAGCTGATGGATCACATGTGGGGCAGTTTTCTTTTACCAAAATTTGATTTTCGAATCATTTCATCTCGATTTCAAATGGTGAACGGTACTATGCGGCCAATAAAATGTAAAGAACTCTTCCTCTCCTCTCATCCATGCGCCCTCACAGCCGACTCACTGCTACCCTCGGTATCCATTACACACACCAACAGCCATACAAGGAAGGGTTGCAGGTAGATATCATCCTATTCAATATCACCTCCTCTGATGAGCCTTATGAAGGCGAAACAGCTGTCAGGAGGAATTTCAGTATCTACCTGCAACCCTTCCTTGTATGGCTGTTGGTGTGTGTAATGGCTACCGAGGTGAGCAGTGAGTCAGCTGTGAGAGCGCATGGAGGAGAGGAGAGGAAGAGTTCTTTATATTTCATCTCGAGCAAAGGAAAACCCGATTTCCGATTTCGGGTTGGTATTTAATAAGTGTTTCGGAGTGGAGCTAGTGAGCGGTAAAGCTTACCTGAATTGCAGCGGTGTGACTTGAGCAAAACAGCTGTGATAAGCAGGCTAGCAGGAAACAGAAGGCGTTTCCCAGGCGCAATTCGATCTGTGAAGACAATAATTATCAATTTTGGGGAGCAAATCTAACTTTATTGTTTAAATGAAAACACAGCGGAAAAAAATGGAGCTTCTCCTTTGCGTTGCCTGTAAACGCTTACAAAGTATAATATAAAATGTCAGAGATGGATACATATGGGCAGTAATCAGATCGCATTATCGGGCCTGGAAATATAACGGAGAAAGAGGGAGGTCATAATCACGTAGAGTCAGGATTCCGTTGTGCATACCGGGAGTGGATACGTGGCCTAGAAAGTTGTTCATTATGCAATAGGGAAACGTACAAAATGCTTACATAATGTGTTTTGAAAGGAGACACTTGTATGTTGGAAGGTGAGTGCGTGAAAGGGGAAGCTGATTGGACGGTTCAGAGGGGTATAGTTAAAGTGGAGAACAAAAAGGAGATATTTGAGTACACTGTAAACTTTTCAACATGACTTTAAATGAATGGGATCTTCGGTTCTTGACCACTTGCTGGTGGGTCTGATCTACGCACATCCCACCGCTTTAGGAGCTGTACCTTCGCCTTGACCCTGTAGGGTGTCTCGGCTTCATAGCTCGGAGGACGCACAATTGCTTTTGTGGAGAAGCCTTTGCTTAGATGTCATCTTTGACCCGAATGTTGCTGGATGTCTGCTGGTGTTGAGCCATCGCTGCTTGGCTAGCTGACTGCGTGACTGCTGATAAGGCTGGTTCGGTCATGCCACAGCACATCCACGGTTGACAGGCTGTTTCCACACCGCAGCGCCTGATGCTGCGTTACTGTGACGTGATCCTAATCATCACAACTCCGAAGAGGAACTATATTATAGTAAATCAATTATCTCAAGGTGGATCTGTGCCACATAGCCAGCGGTGTGTGTGTGTGTGTGTGTGTGTGTGTGCGTGTGTGCGTGTGTGTGTGTGTGTGTGCGTGCGTGTGTGTGTGTGTGTGTGTGTGTGTATTGAACACACTATACTTGACATGATAACACTCAATCATGGATCTTTTCTTCTTGTTCCACGTAATAGACAGAGAGACATAGGCAACAGGAGCAACAGCACACGCATTGAGGGGTAGTTGGCAGCAGCCACATGTCCGCCAGAAAAGGAGTGAACTCTGAAGAGAACGGGAGGTCTCCAATGAGAACGGTGCACAGTTCCTGTAAAATCACAGTGTACTGAGCAAGGAGTGGAACGTTCTCGCAAGTTTGCCTAGCGGAAGCTTCGACGGGTTTCTCGTGCGCTCCAAACGCATTCGTGAGTCAATCAAGTGACAAGTAAGTCGGCAAAACGCGCTGGCTCCGACGCTCGGAGCAGATACTTTCTCCGCAGATCACCATGGAAGTCCCAACATCTTAGTATGTGCAATCGGATTCCAGAAAAAACGCAATGACACGGGATTACTTGGGACTGTTAGGTTATTTTCACCCTGACAGAGCCAGCCAGGAAAACCCCTCACGCTGACGAACGCAGTAGTGAGGGGAAAAACCGGCTGTATGCCCCCAGTGGTGATATGGCATCATGGAAGCATAGCAAGGCATGTCATAGCAAAGTTGGAAAAAGCAAGATGAATTTGCACATAACTGAATGGTGGGAGGTCAGTTATATAGTCACAGGGGAGACTCGACAACTGAGTGAGGAACCAACGAAAAGGATGGGCGATAAAGTAAAGCATCGGATGCCACACTTGCAACAGACAAAATAAAACCCAGTATGTCGTATTGCCCTACTCTTCACACTGTTGTCCCCATCGCTGTCTTGCGAAATAGATGGTTTGGAGGCAATAACTCCGTGAGTTACCAACTGTTCTCAGTAGTGAAGCCAGAACGATGTTGGAGAAAACGAATGATCAACACTCATCTGTCATCCGCCACTGGAATGCTTTCCTTTGTGTTTCTTGGTCTTGCCACCCTCGACTTCTTTACTTTGACAATGCGTAAGTGTACACCTTCACGTGTTGCAGTGCAAGTGATCGCCGTCTTCACAGAGCTCACAATCACACGTTTTGGACGAAGCCGTGCCGAATTCTTGTGGCGAACGTGTCACAGGGTACCAGACCTAGCTCACAAGCTTTGTCATTATACGAAAGCCAGCCATTCTGTGCTTGATGGACCAGCAGCGCAGTGTGTGGCCTGTGCTTTGCGTTGGGCTTGAACATGCCCTGCAGGAGATGTGATCGCTTGCTGCTCTTCTCGCCATTAATCACGAATCTGAATCTACTATCCACATGATTCCACAATGTGCTTTGTGTGCGTTCCGAACGAGGTCGCATGTTAAAGCAACAACTCCTCGCGAGTAGATTAACAAGATTCATATACAAACTGGAAAAACCGACAGGGAGGCAATGGCCAGGGAGACTGATAGAGTGAGGGAGTTGATGTTAATCAATGAGAGAGAATGAGAGAGAATGAGAGAAAGAGTTAGAGAGAGGGAGGGTGTGTGTGTCTGTATGTGAGAGAGAGCGAGGAAGAGAGAGAAAGAGAGAGGGAGAGAGAGGGAGGGAGGGAGAGAGAGAGAGAGAGAGAGAGAGAGAGAGAGAGAGAGAGAAAGAGAGAGAGAGAAACAGATAAAGAGTATATCTCACTTGTTTGCGTTTTTGTGACTGTGTGTACCCCTGTGACTAGCGTGCCGCACTCCGGAAGAGAGTGGAACAGCTAAAGTCTGACCTAGACCAAAAGGATAAGCTGATCTCCGAACTTTACACCGGCCACATGGAGAAGATGACGTCTATGCAATACCAGGTAGGGGATTTCCCATTGATGCGGCATTGCCTCAATTTTTCCAATTGCGCGAGTTGTATTCACTGAGACACTACAATTGTTTGAGCCTTACTTACAGTCTGGTAGGGGGGTTTCCCCTTTGTGCCTCCCGGTTTGTGGCAGAGAGAGTTGGTTGTATCCAATGAGATACTCAATCTGCGGACAGAACTGTTTCGTCCTTTCAATGAGATAATTATAATGATTGTGTAAGCAAAACGGTGATACTCACACATAGTTCATTTTGAGATCGCTTTGTGGAGAAGTTTTAATAAGGCAGTGTTGACTCCAGGGCAAATAGTCGACGATGAAGTTGACCCAATTGTACTCTTGTTTTAATCAAATTGGCGGCTGTTCAATTTCGAAAACTCGACACTAGTATGAATTTTGCTTACAGTGTGAAATGCGTTGCACTGCCTGTATTTTAAAGGAGAAGAAAGTAATGACACATAGTTGAGGGTTCTGGAAAGTGCTCATAAACATTACTGCAATCGTCTTTAGCTCACGGACTTTCGAGTGCTCAGAATTGCCTTCCCTCTGTGCTCCTCATCTGGCATTAGATCGATTTATTGGAGTTGCATTTGAAGCTGGAGACGCAGAAGCGAGCCGATGCCGACGTGGAACTGGAAAAGACCCGTGCAACGCTAGCATCCGCACTACAGACTAGCAAAAATCAGACACAGACGAGTCACTTCGCTATTGTCACCTCGTCCCCACCAACCCAGACGGAAAATGACTTCTTCCTAAGGTCACCGGCTAAGGAACACCCGACTCCGGAACACTCCACTGCAGGACAACTCATTCCACAACCCCCTACCCTGGAACCTTCCACTGTGGAACAATCCGCTCTGGACCACCCCGCTACGATAGTGGCAGCAGCGGAACCGTTTGCTCTCGACCCGGCAGCACCAGGAGCCCACGCTCTGGAACCGCGCAGCACTAATTCCTCAATGAACAAGTCCATTGTGAATATGAGATTGGCTGTAGGTGCAGAGGCAAATGATGTACTGTATTCGCAATTGATGAATCGTAGCTTTTCAGTGCCGTACGGAGCACCCCGTCCTTTCCAACAGGACATGCCGTCACCTTTGGTAATTGCCACACAACACATCACCCAGGTGCCAATAGAACGCCCGCCGCACATTCGACGCAGCAGTAGCGTTGTGAGTCTTCCGAGGGGCCGTCCAACGGTTTCAGATTCCACGAGTGGCAGACTTCCGTCCTTGGCAAGAGCATCGTCGACCCAAGAGCGTCATGCCTCTTCCAACGTCGGCTCAGGCACAAGCGGTGTACCTGCAAGGGCACGGCATCTTTCAACCAGGCAACCATATCTACCCCCGTGGAAATAATGAGATCATGGCACAGCCCCTGCTTACGTACTTGTAGTACGATATCCCACATTACGGAGAGGAACAAGAAAAATTCCTATCCTACCCAGAGTGTCACCCACTTAGTCTTGATGCTACCCAGAGTGTCACCCTCTCCGTCTTGATGGACACCGAGCAGGCAGTCCGTGTGGCATGTCGTCCTATACACTAATACCATCTCTAGTATACAGGTACATGATTGTATAACCCCCAATAATGGTTGCGTCCAAAACTCTGTACAGTAATGATAATAATGATATTGTTCTTCTTAGAGCATGCACCGCGTCAGGGCCAAAGTATTCCGTCATGTTCTTTGATACATTTGTTATATATGTACTCTAGTTAGATAGGTACTCATGTGTACTGTACATAGTAGTAATATACCTACTTCCGTAGCACTACTAGCATGATCACACTGCGCATGCTCTTGTTCAAGGCTTTTTCCCCAATCTACTTGTGCTAGCTGGATGCTTGTGTGCATGGGGATCAGGACACAACATACATGTAGGTGGAGCATTATGACTGTCATGCATTACATCATGCATTACATCATGCACTATTGCATGCCATGCACAGTAGCTCTACTTGAGTACAAGTATTCCTGAAATTCATAAACTGGTCTTTTTAGTGTCCTGTAGCCATACTGGAAGAAATAACAAAACTATTTTCTTGGCTGTTCACCTGCTGTTTGGTACTATTGTAAAAGTCAGATATATTCATTTCATACTTGAAAACCCGACCAACTATAAACAATTTAAGTTTTGTAATAGTAGGCCGCTGTATTTGACACTTGTTTCCATTATTCCCTGTATCTACCCATGATGAGAAGGGAACGAAAACGTTCGGTTACAAATTGGCTTACTTGACTGTGTGGATTGCGTCGGTACTGACACCTTTTCTTTTTTCCGTTTATGTCGGTCGTACATAATTATACGAAATTTGTGAAACACTAGCACTGCATACCTGCCATGGGATAACACCTATAGTGAACAAGACCACACAAACCCGAGTATAGCCCCAGTATCCTGAGGATTGCTTTTCAGCATGAAACTCTTGAGTGGAGACATTTAGCCACTTTTTGTTCCACCGGATTTTCGTTTATACGTCATTTGAAAATGTGCTAAGTGTGTTTCTCAGTACGATGGATAAAATGAGAGGCAAGCATCAGAATTTACATTTGAATAATAATGTTTAACTACTGAGCCAATGAATATAATTGAAAAAGAAGAAATCACATGGAAACGAGTTATGAAGCAACTATCCACGACTGTAACAAGATAATAAGCAGTCAGAAAGTGTGATAACAGGGCACAAAACTGACATGTTACTGTGACATTCAATGACCTGAGACCTAGCTCTCACACACCTCCAGTGCGCAAACCAACAGCCTTCCAGCTTGGAAGGTTCAAGGTTATGGTAAGATCAATGAGGGGAAGGTACTGGAGGTGTGTGAGAGCTAGGTCTCAGGTCGTTGAATGTCACAGTAACATGTCAGCTTTTGTGCCCTGTTATCGCACTTTCTGACTGCTTATTATCTTGGATAGTTGCTTCATAACTCGTTTCCATGTGTCTGCCATGGCTGGCTAACGCCCCCTCCTTTGCATTGGCTTCTGCCACTGGACGGTGAAATAATATTTTGAAGTAATAATAATAATAATGTAGAAAGGAGAAGGACATAAGGATACGAGTTAAAAGTAACTCTCCATCACTGTAATTGGATACTATTATAAAAGTCAGAAAGTGCAATAACTAGACACACAACTGACAAGAGTACTGAGACATTCGACGTCCTGACACCTAGCTTCAACACATCTCCGTAGCGCTAACCGACAGCCTTCCAACTTGGAAGGTTCAAGGTTATAGAAAGACCAAAGAGGGGAAGGCAAGCCTTTAGAAAGACCAAAGGTCTTTCCATAACCTTGAACCTTCCAAGTTGGAAGGCTGTCGGTAAGCGCTACGGAGATGTGTTGAAGCTAGGTGTCAGGACGTCGAATGTCTCAGTACTCTTGTCAGTTGTGTGTCTAGTTATTGCACTTTCTGACTGTATATAGTATCCAGTTACAGTGATGGAGAGTTACTCTTAACTCGTATCCTTACGTCTTTTTCCTTTCTACATTTATTTATGGCTCAACATCCGAGTTTCAAATAATAATAATGTGATTTCTTCTATTTTATGAATATTATGTGTTTTACTTTGCACGCCATTGTACCACTACATGTACTTGTAGTACTGAAAAAAACCCGCGATCACTTTTAAAAATCTCTTGCTAGCGCCAGCATTTTTTCGTAAAACTTGTTTTTTCAAAATTAATGCAGACATGTACATGTATACATTGATTCGATTTCGGCAGTATCATTATTGATTTTTGGTTTTGAGAGGTAGCTACTATTTTTTAGTATTAGTATTACTATTAGTTGTATGACCTTAGCTTGGATCCAGTTCTATCACCTTTGAGCAGGCAGGACCGCGCTTTCCAGCACGCGCAGTAAGTTTGATCTGTCATTGGTGGACTCCAAGGCGACAATCACGTGAAACACGGGAATTCGCAGTCATGCCTGCTCAAAGACAAACAAAGGTGAACGAACTGGATCCACTGCCCATCGTCTAGTGACGACGGGCAGGAACGGATTCCACTGCGCGTCGTCACTTGACAACGTGACGCATGTTTCGCAAAGTACAATAGTACATGTACAAGGACGACGCCAACGATTACGTAACCAAAATAAAATTAAATATTGTTAATGTCGTTGCAACGCTAGCGCTCTCTACTTCATTGACATTGTTCAGGCACCACTGACTTTAAACTTCGGCGGTTCTTTTGCCCCTTTTCTTCCGATTTGTGCTGTTTTGGTTCTGATACAGTGATCGTTTGACCTTTTTTTTCCCGCAGCATATCATTTGTTATCCTCCAGTCCTGCCTTCGTTGTCCAGCACAAGCGAAGAAGTGGACCTATACCGGTCGACTTCAACGCGAACATGCACATACTAATTATAATAATTGCAAGGGAAAGAGCGAATTCACTGCAGTGCGCGTGCATGCTCTTTGGCTTGGGTGCATACGAGAAACACGTTCCAGTCACTCATACTCATACAGTGCTGGCAACTGAAATCCAACCCCCTGGGCGGCGCGTTCACTTTCTAGCGGCCTCTATTTCGGGTCTTTGCGATGTGAGCGCACCGCTCAGGGTGTCGGATTTCAGTTGCCAGCATGCATTGTACTTCATAGATACTCAGCCAGCATCGATGCACCGCTGTTCGGCCAGCCCTTGCCGCTATCGCGGTGCGGGCGGGATTCCGCGGTACTGACTAGTGCCCTCGTACTCGTGCAGGAACCTGTACTTGTCTAATGGACATGGACCAGTACAGGCCTGATTGTGTACATGCGCTGGAGCGAATCTGAAGAAAGTCGCTAAATAAAACGCCACCAACCACCTCAGCTGTGCACCCACGTTCTAACCAGCCAAACTACATTGTAGTTTTTGTACTGTGTCATCAAGCTGTTCCCAGGTCACTTGAGACAAGGCCGCAGTACAACTCAAATCGGCTCCGCTATCGTGTATTGCACGCTTCTATTTTGGTAGCTTGAACAATCTGCTGCAAGTAACTATTACTTTTGTAACTTAGTTCTAGAGAGGGCCGATGATGTGATATTACTTCACGTAATGGCTGATAGTGCTCGCCTTCCAACGCACCGTCATGCTCGTTACTGGCAGCTGACTTGCGGAGAGTTGTCAGTTGTGCCTAACCCAGGCTACTGAAAAGTGAGCGCAGACCAAGTAATGAAGTATGTTGTAATTGTACTAGTAGACTGGGGTACTAATAATAATAGTTTGGACAAGCCTCAGTCGGCGTTCCAGCTTTTATGCGCATTATCTGCTCGTTTTGCTTCCCGCCGGCCGGCCTTTCCGTCAGTTTGACAAGCATCCTGTTCAGAAGAGTTGTGCGGTGGATCAAGAACCATGCATGCAATAATGGCGATGTATGCTTGTCACTGAGTCTGTTCACGCTGCAAGTGACGGACTGAGCCGAGCCGGGCGACTCGTCGGAGTTGCCGCGCCAGGACGATACCTGCCAGGAGTAGGTAGCGACAGGAAACGTTGAGAGCACACCAAAAGACTGTTGGCTTGAGTGTGCTACAGGATGCCTCGAGGGCAAGACTCCGCGTGCCTTCCGTGCCTTCCAAGACCCTCGCCTAGACACGAGTGGAGCGAACGCAAGTTCGCTGAGGAGGTTGCGCAGAAAGTGACGCGCCAGCCGCCTTCCTATCCACCGCCGTTTAGACCCCGCAGTCCATGCTGTGAAAAGTGTAAGGTGAGCCAACGTGAATGCTTATGATTGTCCTGCGTAAGTAGCCGATTGATTTGCAACATAGCTCTGCTATTTGGCACATGTGCACATGCAATAGCCATGTGTGGTTGACGAGTGCATAAGGTACGGAAAAACGAACTTTTCTTGTGCTGGAATAGTTATACAACACCTATGATCTGTACCCATTGGGATGTTAACGTCTTCTTCTACGTATGTGTCTCTGTTCGTACTCGTACTTCCATGTGCATCACATAAACACACACACGCACACACACTATGGAAATACACGCACCATGGACACACACCATGTACACACGCGCACACGCACACACATACGCACACACACACACCACACGCACACACACCATCACACACACACACACACACACCATGTACACACACACACACACAAACACACGTGCACACACACACACACATGCACTGCACGTAACTCTCATAAACACAGGCTGCTTCTAAGGAGCTGGTGGAAAAGGACAAGCAGCTGAAAGAGTTTGTCGACCAGTTCAAGTCGGAGCAAGACATGATTGAGAGGATGGAGGCTGTGATAAAGGAAAAAGATGAGAGGATACAGTCTCTGAAAGATAGGTAATGCACATTACATGTATACGTATCTAATATTGACTGAGTACGAAGTCAATATTAAAATAAATATAGGAAATAAAGGCCGAGTAAAAGACCGAGGTGAAGCGGAAGTATCAATACGAGGTTCTATTTCTTATACTGACCAAGTACGAAGTCAATATTAGATTTATCACGACGAACAGTCTGTAATTCCAGAACGATAACCTCATGAATCCCGGTTTTATGATTGCACAACCGTTGCACCACCACCTACTCATGCAGTGACAATGCTGCACTAGGCACCGTTCAACTGCGCAACCCATAATCAGTCAAATATAAGCAGTCAATATAGCCCTAAGGAGTGAAATATGCAGGAATACATGACTGCTTAGGTATAGCGATAATCAATGGGAGTCAATACTAAGGAAGTGAAAACCATGTATACTGTGCTTATGAGCACATGAAGAGATGAAGCCAGTTGTAGATCTGATGAGTCCTTTTGTACTACTACTTCTCGAACTACTGTGCTTCCCTCTACAACGTGTTCTTAGAGAAGGGGTGTCCCATTTCTGATTCCCTCATCAGAGTGAATAGAAAGGGGTTGTAAGCAATTTCTGCACACGCTCAATTACTACATCACGAAGACTTATTTCAGAATGCTTAAAACCCTCATTCCATGTTTTGGGGTCTAAACAGACACCAGGGGTAAGATTTTAGTATATTTTTATTTCCCTTCATGATATCTCCCTGATAGATAGAATATTTTAAAGTATTTTTGATCACCTATGGTTTTTCCCTCTTCAATTCATTCTGACTTAGATGTTCGGACATTATATTGTAATTTGTAGTTCCTTGTAGTTCCTTTTTTTCTTTACTTTAGATATGTGCTTAGAAGTTGCGACTTCGGCGGTAATAGTCATGAAGTTGATTGTTCCAACTAGGAACACACGCTTCTTGCCGAACTTGACACTTGACTGACTCACGACTGCCATCTGGAACACACGAGGAGCACGTCGCACCTTCCACTCGGCAAACCTGCAAGAAAGCACCACTCCCTGCTCAATACACAGTGTTTCGGGGAATTCACCCCTCATCAGTTGAGCTTGAGTAGGCTGAGGAAGATTGTGCCTGAAAAGCACCACTTATATACTGCTCTCCAGGCCAAACCATCACCAGGGATACAAACTTACAGAGACGCTTTGTTTCCAGCGCGACAAACACCTCGTGAAGCTCCTGGTAGCAGCGTGAGTCAGAGTCGCTCATGGAGTTGTGCTAAACAGACGTTGAGAGCCAGTATAGCTATTCGCAACGCTGTCACCTCCAACAACTAGTCGCACGTCCGCGTGAGGGACAACAATACAAACTTAGAAGTTGCGACTTCGGCGGTAATAGTCATGAAGTTGATTGTTCCAACTAGGAACACACGCTTCTTGCCGAACTTGACACTTGACTGACTCACGACTGCCATCTGGAACACACGAGGAGCACGTCGCACCTTCCACTTGGCAAACCTGCAAGAAAGCACCACTCCCTGCTCAATACACAGTGTTTCGGGGAATTCATCCCTCATCAGTTGAGCTTGAGTAGGCTGAGGAAGATTGTGCCTGAAAAGCACCACTTTTATACTGCTCTCCAGGCCAAACCATCACCAGGGATACAAACTTACAGAGACGTTTTGTTTCCAGCACGACAAACACCTCGTGAAGCTCCAGGTAGCAGCGTGAGTCAGAGTCGCTCATGGAGTTGTGCTAAAACAGACGTTGAGAGCCAGTATAGCTATTCGCAACGCTATCACCTCCAACAATTAGTCGCACGTCGGCGTGAGGGACAACAATACGAACTTAGAAGTTGCGACTTCGGCGTTAATAGTCATGAAGTTGATTTTTCCAACTAGGAACACACGCTTCTTGCCGAACTTGACACTTGACTGACTCACGACTGCCATCCGGAGCACACGAGGAGCACGTCGCACCTTCCACTTGGCAAACCTGCAAGAAAGCACCACTCCCTGCTCAATACACAGTGTTTCGGGGAACTCACCCCTCATCAGTTGAGCTTGAGTAGGCTGAGGAAGATTGTGCCTGAAAAGCACCACTTTCATACTGCTCTCCAGGCCAAACCATCACCAGGGATACAAACTTACAGAGACGCTTTGTTTCCAGCGCGACAAACACCTCGTGAAGCTCCAGGTAGCAGCGTGAGTCAGAGTCGCTCATGAAGCTGTGCTAAACAGACGTTGAGAGCCAGTATAGCTATTCGCAACGCTGTCACCTCCAACAACTAGTCGCACGTCCGCGTGAGGGACAACAATACAAACTTAGAAGTTGCGACTTCGGCGGTAATAGTCATGAAGTTGATTGTTCCAACTAGGAACACACGCCTCTTGCCGAACTTGACACTTGACTGACTCACGACTGCCATCCGGAGCACACGAGGAGCACGTCGCACCTTCCACTCGGCAAACCTGCAAGAAAGCACCACTCCCTGCTTAATACCCAGCCTCAGCCTACTGAAGCTCAACTGATGAGGGGTGAATTCCCCTAAACACTGTCAAGTTCGGCAAGAAGCGTGTGTTCCTAGTTGAAACAATCAACTTCATATAGATATGTGGTTGATAAATATGGTGGTAAAGACACACCTGGCAATATGGCGGTAAACACACGCCTGCCCACACACGCTCTCTAAGCTGCAAAGTTCTGGCACAGAGCTCTTCTTCTCACCACCACCACCATCAGTTCGCGCCTGGTGCCTCGTCGATGCATGGTTGGCGGTATTCAACTTCATTCTATAGATACCGTATTATCTCTAATATAAGCACGGTCCTTTATTTTTTCAATGTACCTGCTATTAATGGAGACGTTCCTTTATTGGAGACTGTTCCATTATTATTTCAACCCCATTTCAGAGGCATGTTGCCATGCCAAATTCATGTATGACACACACATTTCAGGGTTTTTTTTGCCGGTACAGATAGTGAATTTACACAGTGTGCTTATAATGGAGACTGAGCACTTTATTTTTTGAATGCCGCCCCAAGGTGTTCTATTATTGGAGACGTGCTATTATTGGAGACTGTGCTTACATTAGAGATAATACGGTATGTGATATAATTAAAATAGAAGAAATCACATGGAAACGAGTAATGAAGCAACTATCCACGATTGTAACACGATAATTCTGTTTATTGGCTCAGTATGCGAGTTAAATATGTGATATGTCGGAGGTCCAAGGGGAATATTTTGCTTCCGGCTAGTGAATGTTCTACTAGATCTCCATTGAGGACTACATGGCATTCCTGTGGCTCTACATCTGAGTTCACAATGATTTTCGCAAATATAGGACGCAAATATAGGAAGGCATAACTGCATGCTTGTGATGTGACCTAGCATCAAATGACCGGCAGCACAACAAGATGAATTGTGTAACATGTGGTACAACGGTACTGTCGGTCGCCGAAGAACTGGGGTGATCAGCCTCCTAGCCCAGTCCGTTCTTATTTACATGTATTACAGTCTATGCACAGTTGGGTCACCGTGTATACATTGGTATGCTGTGCTTGATGACTTTCTAGCCTAGTCGTTCTTCGGCGCCCGACGGTACTGTATACAAGTGGAAAGTCGGTGTGACTGTTTGTAGCCACAAATGTTATCCATTGATTTTATAATGATCCACATTCTGTTCAGAAAGTTTGCTCATAATGGTCGTGGCAGAATGTTTGCCAGGGAATGTGACGTGCTTTTTTCTCGATGCGTATCTTGTTTCATAGCTGGGGAGACCTGAGCTTCAAGTTTGAGAATCTGCGAGTTGAGCATAATCACACATCAAGGACCCTGGAGTATACCCAAGAGCGCAACTTGGAGGAAGAGTAAGCTACTTGCGTATATCGTAGTGTCTTATATTAAATAATAATAACAATATGAACAGGTCGCATATTGCCCGCATAAACAAATCATACGGGGTCATGCATCTGTCTCGCCACCAACAAGCAACTCTGGTTATGTTAAAGCGTGCCCATTATAGAAGCCTATCCTGAATACAAGCCCGATTTTCAAGATCCCCGCTCGGCACTTAACCCTTTATGTACCGCGCATCTAATGTATGCGTAGGGTACTCCTCGTCAATGATGGACCTATAGGATAAAATCTAGACGCATTTTGTATGTGCAAGTTATGTTTTTCTGAATCTATAGTAATGAATGGGTCCATTTGTCAACATACTGTAATCCAGCATGCAGCTATAAGTAGAGGGCATACACGGAATACCCAATTATGAGCCAATTGTGCGTAATTCTGACAATTGAGATCGCTACATTTGAAATAAAGTATAGACGTATCAGGGACGGCCATTGGGACGCACAGTGACAGAAGGACACCACAGGCACTAGTTGCATGCATGAACAGCAACAGAAGGGGCGGAAAACGGATGTATCGTCTAAATACCAGACGCAAACAATTGCGTCAAATATTCAAATTATTGCAATTATTTCAGATTTGAAATATGGCCCAGTATCAGCGAGAATCGACCTTCGGGTGAAAATCTTTTTTTCAGAATAAGTCATTTTCTGCAACGGCAAAAACTGTTGCTTCGCGCTCTGCACATTCAAACAAAAAATTTGTTCATCGCAACAATGAATGCTTTTTATCGTCCCAGTAGCAGGAGAGTTCGCTCACGATGGCCAGGTAGATGCCGTCCGGCTCCGCCAGTAGTCATTGGATTTCCTAGGCAGGAATCGTCAAGCCGGATAGAGAACGACGACAGTTTTCAGAAGATGTTTTTGTCGACGCGCAATTCCTATTTAGCGACGAGAATTTCAACTTGATATAGGCGCTCCGCCAAAGGAGCTCTCTGCTGGCAAAAGTACTTTCTGACATCTGAAAATCCTTGTAGGGCCCTTCTGAATTTAGTACAGCTCCGCTCAGGAGAAATACTCAACGAGGAGAAACTAGTGAGGCGACGTCAACAGAGGTAGATGAACTGAAACGCCCTGGATCAACTCGAGTCAGGACGAAAGAGCGCTGCCGCTAGTGACATGATCTGAATTTTCCCAGGCTCCCACACTGGACTCCGTGGTGAACACCAAACCCCTTGGACGGGGCAAGAGCTGAACATTGATTGATGAGCTACGAACTCTCTGCGCTCAGTGCTTGAATCATGGCGCAATGACGCGCATGCAGCCAGTTCCCACAGAGCTCAAATTTCACAGAGGTGCAGCAGTGATGGACTACCTCTAAATCGTGTATGACTATGAGATGAAGTGTGGGGTGTTAGAATGTGGTGCCTGTGTTGTATTCCCTGTGGGATGCACAGACTGGGAATCCAGGTGTAGTTGTAGCCACCCTCCCTCCTGTTCTGCACTTCTGTGGATTTTCAGCAGACTTGGGATGGCGTTCAAACAGTTTTCATTGGTATGCAGTGATGAGGATCAAGGCCAGCCATGCTCTATGCGAGAGGTTGCCCAAGAGTTGCTTTACAACAAAAACTGGATGGATGATTTATTACACTGTCTATTTTTTATTTATTTCACTGTAACACATAGTATTCCGATGTGGAAAACACTGTGATAAATTGTTGTATTTCCTGATATGTACCTATGCTTGTTTGAGAAGCTTCTGGGTCATCAATATTGCTTTGTTCGGTCTAATACTTTGCCATGTGATCACTAGATACCTATAGATGACAACAGCAGAAAAAAGTCATTTTGTGAAAAATCACCCTAAGGTCCATTTCCGCAGATACTGGGCCATATGTAGTTTTTGCTGATCTACTCACGTCGAGCGAGGATTGGTGATTGAGAAGACAAGAAATAGTTACTAGGGGATGACCTCCGCCTGCCTTGGTGATTTTATGCCATCGCTGCCCTCCCTCTCGATGCTACTTGGAGAGCGAAAGCTGTGATGGCTTCAGCGATGAAAATTGGAAGTTTCGATTCAGATCCTGTGGAGATATCGCTGCTGCAGCTCTCTCCAGGTGTCTACCACGACTAGAGGACGTCGACATTAGCTGGAGAAGGCTATATCTCTATTAGCAGCAGCGTGACGGAACGAAAACACGATCGAAATTGGCAAAATATATCGCAGAGCGCTGCATTTGCGAACGCACTTTTGAAAGGACGCCGCCGAACGGCGCGTCCAAGTGCGGCGCGCCGAACCGTAAATATTTTTACGGTTCGAGATGGGCGCGGTACATAAAGGGTTAAGCATGGTTTTAGTGTTGACATGCATGTCCATAGAAATACCTGGTCCGAATAGAAACCTGACCTGAACAGAAGCCTAGCACTAACATCGGCTCCTACAGAAATAGGCCTGGCGTTAATACGTGACATTACGGCATGCATGTGTCCACACGATGCTAGATTCCCAGGCAGTTACCTTGCTGTGTTACTCAGCACAATTGTAAGCCGGTGGTAACGCGAATGTGCCAACCTTGCTCTACTGTAGCTGTTCCCACATTTTCTTGGATCACTAAAATAACTACAGTGCCATTTTATAATCGAAAAGTTCATTGTAATAAATATAAAAAATCTAGAAAATCGAAAAAAATACTTCTTGAAGTAGAAAAGTTCAGTGAAGTATAAAACATGATTCTATCATCTGAAAGTTTCAAAGTCTGTATTGCTGGGGACACTTGAATTTTGTGTCTTGAATATTTTGTGCATTGGACAAAGTGGACAATGCTAAAGGTCACAGCTAGTGAAATACTGTACTAACGCCATGTTGTTCGTTTTCTGTATTGTCACCTCTCTGCTCATTGTCCTGGAGTAGATCTGAACCACTTCATGTCGAAGTCAGGTTGCACGAGGGTGAAACTGGTCTCTCTGCTGAGGAATGCAGAGAGGAACTCCGAAAAATCTGGTCCTTTCTGAGAACATTGGAGACGAGACTTTCATCCAAGTCCAGCACCACTGAGGTCACAACTAAGAAAATCAAGATGTCTGAGGATCTTGTGAGTCATGATTTTGAATACTCTGAAGTAAAAAAATTTAATCTAGCTCCCCCCACTCTCAACTGATCACCTGTTTACGGAGAGTCGATGTCTGTAACGATCAATATCATTGGACATGGGCAGTTTTCCCACTTCGGTCAATGATATTTACCACGCTATGTTCTTTATGCCCCTGCGTAGGTACGGTCCAAAACAATCAAAGAGGTGCTGAACATTCTCTTGAAAGGCAAGGCTTCGCGCGAAGCCTTTGAAGCCCAGGAGAAAGAAATAAAGGGTAAGAAATAATGGTCAGGCGTGAGTCTGAGGACTTAAATCGAATTCAAACTTTAGACCGAAATGCGTTCACTCCAGATCAATACCCAGCCTAGCATGAAAGCAAAACCTGTGGAGGTAGTGAGTCTTGCCTCTAACCTGATGACTACTGTCATATGTGTCGTAATGTGCTTTACAGGAAATCATAGTTATCCCAGGCGTGGTCTTTTTTTTTGCCACCGGCCCCAGCGACATTGCCCTAACTAAGCAGAATCTTCACGAAGGGCAGCTTTGGGGCATGAATAAGGCCATTATGACAAAGGGAGATATGATGTATAAACATCACCCTCTATTGTGTGTTGCTCCCTACATGGGAGCTCGCGGTTTTCCAGCCGACTTGAATTCTCACTTCACTGACTCACGACTGCCATCCAGAGCACACAAGAGAAGTCCACCGAACCGTCCACTCGGCAAATCTGGAAGAAAGCACCACTCCCTGCTCAACACACAGTGTTTCGGAGAATTCCCCCGTCATCAGTTGAGCCTGAGTAGGCTGAGGAAGACTGTGCCTGAAGAGCACCACTTACATAGTGCTCTCCAGGCACAAACATCACCAGGGATTCAAACTTACAGAGACGTTCCGTTTCCAGCGCGACAAACACCTTGTGAACACCAGATATCAACGTGAGTCAGTGTCGCTCATGGAGGTGCTTAACAAGCGCTGAGGACTGTTGGCCACATCCTCCGCTGAGTCTGCCATGTTCAGAGCTTAGTCAATGACATTGAGCAATCTCTGCAGCTTGGGGCCCAAAGCATTTGTATAAGACTCTTCATGTGCTTCGTGTGTGTGTGTGTGCGTGTATGTCTGTGTGTGTGTGTGTTTGTGAGTGTGTACCACTTTCTAACTGGCCATAGTGGTGAATTCAAAGGCTAAGAAGGCAGACGCCCTGGCTGAGAGAAGGAACAAGCAGCTGAAGGACTTTACGGAAGAGAACAGGTAACGTGATCATAATTATGTGAAAAAGTCGAAGTATTCATCATTGAGCAGAACTCTTCTCTCGAACTGCCAAATTGAAGCGACGTCTAAGATTCGTGGATCACCTGAGTCCCCCCCCCCCCATCAGCTCAGACACATTCTGAACCTTCTGTGCAAACATCAATGCAGTTTAGGTCATGAACTCCCTTTCTATTGCAACACACTGGCATATGGTGTGCAGGGGTAGGTCGCAACAACCTGACCCGCAAAATCATCCATCCATAGCCTCTAAGAAAACAGAAATATGTCTTTAAAAAATGTAGCAGTGCATATGCGCATATATGTAGCGAGTTATGTGGAGGATGACATATCAACACACATACCGTAGTCGCACGATTAGAGCCCTCTCTTGAATAATGCCCTGTCTCGAATAGTCTCTGAAAGCCAACACAAAAATAAAGCTCTCTTTTGAATAGTGCCCCCCCCCCCTCCGCGGGCTTGTAATCAGTGCAGGAAGAGTCCATGTACATGTACATGGTACATGCACTACACTTGACACGTCTGAGGACCCCAGGCACATGAATCATGCTAGACTAGTAGCATAGGTGTGTGCAGTGTGATACGCTGATCACATTGATATATCACATGTGTTATACGTGGATATGGTCATGTGACCCACTGAACCTGGATAAGAAGACCACCTGGCCAAGGCGACCACATTTTCTCGTCCCTTTAGTGGTCTCCTTAGTCAGGTTTCAATGTATTTGAAAGTTGAGTTTGCCATAATAAGGAGATGTGAATGTACATACACTTAGGCTGTGTTTACATGAGAAATTTTAACCCGGGTCGAGTGCAGCCCGAGTTGAAAGTCTATACGATAGACAAAAGAGGTGAGCGTTTACATGAAGACAGTTGACCCGGGTCAAATACTGATTTGCCGCCAAAAGTCCACTTCTGCAGTCCTGTATGGTCACGTGAATCCGTTCGCGCGAAATTTGCATCCGCAGTGCTGTTCAAACCTGGCGCGAGATACGCACGGAAGTACGTTTGTACGATTTTCTTGACCCGGGTTGATTTCAACCCTCCCCTTGGGGGGGGGGAGGGTTGAAATCAACCCGGGGCGAAATTTCAACCCGGGTCAAGCGCAATGCGTCATGTAAACGCGCCATTCATTTTGTGCACATGGCGAGTTGAAATCTGACCCGGGTCGAACTCAACCCGGGTTGAAACGCCTCATGTAAACACAGCCTTATTGCAACACCTGTAAATCTGCGTTGGCTGAAGAATTTTGACTGACTCTTTTTTGCGCATTTATCCGCTGGATTAGAACAATGTCATGGTGTTGTCAGCCAAAAATGTTCAAAATTAGATATTATCTAGACAGTGGCGATGCGTCGATAACAAGACCAACTGATTACAGGGTGCGACAGAGCTCTCGGCCATTGAAGATAATGTTGAGTCATCGCCACCATTACACTGCGCTCTTTAGCCGACTATATTGATAAACTCCTTCAGACAGCTGTTTCGCTAATACATAGCTCATCAGTGAAGGTAGATGTTGAATGATTAAAAATATAGACCAAACTGCTATTTTATGCCAAGCGTCTTGGCGCGACGGGCGAGCAGTACAGTGTCATGCCCCAGGGGCTGCTGTGGCTGTCGACGTCGGCGGGTCGTGAGGTGCGTTCGCAGGCCTTCATGGCGCTCGGACAACTGCAATACTAGTACACAGACTCTCACTAGCTACATAGTACTCTGATTCTGGCACGTTATTTCTGCATTGAATAGTGATTGATTTTCCGCGCCGAATTTCCGACGCTGCATGCATGTCCAATGCGCGTCAACAGTACTTCACACTTTCCTTTTCCCGCGTTATCACCTCGGCTATGCCAGTTTTGTATGTGGAAACCCCCTATATCATAGCAGTTTGGTCTATAGTTTTAATCATTCAACATCTACCTTCACTGATGAGCTATGTATTAGCGAAACAGCTGCCAGAAGGAGTTTATCAATATCGTCTACGGAAGTGTCCTCGCAATGGTGATGGTTGTGTGCAGGAGGGTCTAGTCGGCTAAAGAGCGCAGTGTAATGGTGGAGATGACTCATCATTTTCAAGACCAACTGAATCAACATTAAATTTTCAGAACACCTCTATTGTACCTGTATCCGGAAGGATGTGAGGTGATGGACAAAGAGGAACATGTGACTACAATAAGGAAGAAACTGGTGGACGAGAAAAAGGAAAAGCACTTCGAACTAGTTTTCGTACAACTCTCGTCAGGAAGAAATATTGTACTGGAGAACGCCAATGTCACAAGGGGACTAATATAGTGGCCTTCAAAAGTGAGAAATTAACAACTGTAGCAAAGTGAATAGAGCATCTTAACTTTTAAAAGATAAAATTTCATAGTACCTACTGTGTAAACAAAATGATATAAGCCTCCTTTTTGGATAAAAGGCTCAAATAGAGGTGGCAATTTAGAATTTCCTTCTGTTGTCGCCTTCTGTCGTCGCCTCTCCGCATCCGTAATCTACCAACATAGCCAGTTATGGTACGCATTTCTACTTACAGAGAACTACGGTTGCATATCATTCGCCTGCGCAAAGAACTGGATTCTGTCAAGGATGCTGAGAGTGAAGCCGTAAGGTGGGTTATCAAGTGTGTAGTGCTACTTATAGAGCCTATTGTTGCTGGATTTTAGGTGCTGCATTTGGATACCCTGGGTGTACCGGTAATACAATCCCTGGGATTCCGGGATTATGGACACAGTAAAGCCTGTCAAGGCGACCACTTGGATAAGGCGACCACCTGTCCTGGAAAACGACTAAAACCAGGACCAAGGGATGCTATTTCTAGTCAAATGACCATGGATAAGGAGACCACCTGGTAACAGAGACCAGGTTTTCAAAGGTCCTTGAGCGGTCGTCTTAGACAGCTTTCACTGTACTATATGGCATTCGCATGGGTAGTTTCTGGCAAGCGAGCAATAAATTTCAGTTAGAGGTGGTCTACAATTGTTGAAAAATCAATTCTTTTTTCCTTTCGCTAAAGATAGGGTGGGTGGTGAAGAGCATTGCCGGTGATCTATTTGTGATGTTTCATGACCCTTTTGCACTCTGGTGGGTCTGATCTGCTCTCCTCCCGCCACTTTATGAGCTGTATCTGTGCCCCTGATCCTTGAGGGTGGTGGTTAATGGATGCGAAAACCTTCGTCAACCAGAGTCTCTACGCGAACCGTGTATTAATTTCCTTTTCTTACGCTGTGCAATCGGTTGTTTCAAACCAAGCACTGGCACATGTGTCATCAACAGTGGTGCTGGAGTGCGGATGAAGAAAGTATCATGCCAGGAGAACGACGAATGGTTCGTATGGGCTGCGGACCAGGGGAAAAAGTCGAACACCTCCCAGCCACACAAGTATTTTGAATAGAATGGACCGGAGCCTGCGCATGTGCAGGAAATGGAGAACTATAACACTCCTCAAGTAACTGCCTGGAAATTTCGAAGAAAACAGGTCTAAGAATCCTCGTCTGTATTGTGTATTCATCCCTCGCAGCAGCTTGTGATGCTGCCTGTGGACCAGACACGATTTCTGTGTTTAGGGCCCACTGCAAATTATACGAACCAAGTTCATACACACAACGGAGGTGAAAGGCTGAGTAGTTGGAACTTCAAGTTTCACGCATTTCAGCTATCATCAGACAGCGGCATTTGGTGATTGAAAAAGGCTGCTGCCTGATGATCGCTGAAATGAGTCAAACTTGGAGTTACAACTACACAATCTTTCGCCTCAGTTGTATGTGTATACTGCTCTGCATGTGTGTGCTTTGAGCACTCTGCTTCGAGCTGTCTTGACCGGCCTTGCTGAAACAATGGCAAAATAAGACAAGAGAAATTTTATCCAGGACTGATTTATTTCCAATTTTTCTGTCATCACGGACGACCCCTTTGCAACCCTGATGCATACTGTGACCAAGTATTTTGTCCCTCTTTGCGTTTGCCTCTTTTCACAGCCGGAATTACGAACTCGATGACAGGTTCACGGAAGGCACAGCGGCTCTCAAGTGTGAACTTGATGAGAAAACCGAGGAACTCACGACAGCCCAGGAAGAGATACAAAAGCAGCATGAACTGATAAATGATTTGAAAGTAAATCTTCATGAGTTGAAGGAGCAAAATGACGAGTATCTAGCAGAATCGTAAGTAGATAATCAGGAAGTCGGATCCGCTACGGTCACTAGGGTATTGGCCGCACCACCTTTGCCCCAGGTGCCCTGTGAATAAAAAAATCACAGATCTGGACTATAAATTTCGAAATTATTCAGAGGAGCCTGCCTAACCCCACAAGCAAATTGTATTTCAGATGGCTGACCATACCACCCTTAAATACCTACCGATGCCTCTGAGATTCGAGTGGTAGTGGCAGGTCACAGAGGGCCTTGGTGTACGACAATACGTAATGGTGCCTATGAGAAAAAGGAAGTCACATATTCTGGAAGCGTTGTCAGGATGACCAGCAATTTCGAACCACATGTTCCAGTACTTCAAGTATTTTCGCTCTGATCATTGTTTGCCAAGCCCATTCCTGCATCTTACTCACTGTGGTTATCAAGTGTGAGCATAATGTGCATGAAATGTACTATGTTGTGCATGGAACAGTCATGTCGGATAGGAGAAACTAAATATTGCAGTGGTCCTTGGGTTGCAATGGCTCTGATGTGTGAACTCACGGCTGGTGGTGTATTAGTTCATACCAACTATTTACGCTATCACCAACATCAGTGCTGTGTGATTATTGAATAAATCAGTGAGCCTCTAGATCCAAAAAAGGGCTTACTATGTTAAATAAATAAAATTAAAATTCACGGTTCAGTTTTCCGCATCCGCCGTGGGAACGCCACCACCCTCTAGGATCAAGGCGCAGATGCAGCTCCTAAAATGGTGGGAGGTGAGTAGATCAGACCCACCACAAAGTGGTCAAAGACTGAAATCCCATTAGCTGCATCCATGTTACGCTCGTTTTTTACTATGTTATTTTTGACCAATTTGAGTAGCCGCACCATGCCATCACTGTAATCCACCAAAGCCCCGTGCAAACGCATTCAGTCAATAGGCTTCGTCGACCGCAGGGTTATTGGTGTTTGCATGAGTGTATTTACATCTCTCTGCTTGGAAATTGAACTTTCAAATGCATTTTTATTCGAAACTGGGCAAAACCTCAGTTGCCCCCTTTTCTAATCTGGAGACTCTTGTTATACGTGTGATGGCGGTGGTGCCGAGAGTTATTGTGCTGTGTTTCCCTTCCGTTACATGTGCCCTGTATCTGTTTGCACGGCCCTTTCAGCCATCGCTATCATAGCATTGTGAGGGAGAATGGGCTGTGCGTCTGCTCTGATGCAAAGCCCGCCAAGCTACTACTGCAAAAGGTAACTATGAGCATGGTCGCGTAATGAATTTATTAGTAATACTTATTCACAATCACATGGCACTAGCCAATGAAAAGGTGATGTGGGCGATAGCCAGCCATGAAAATGCATGCAACTGTCAGCATCCGGGGTGGTACATGATTATTGGGGACTTGGACATCACACCAAACTTGGAATGACCATGCACAGATCATATGAACTACAGATTGTCCGAGTTACAAAGTAATTATTGTAATGTTCCTTGGCAAGGGCGATTCTCCGAAATCGCATCTTCCTGACGTTCTTCAAATAGTTGTGCATGAGTAAGGGGGTGTTAGTGCTTGTGTGTGTGCTTGCATGTGCTTGCGTGTACTTGTGTGTGCTGGTGTGTGCTGATGTGTGCTGGTGTGTGTGTGTGTGTGTGTGTGTGTGTGTGTGCGCGCACGTGTATGTGTGTGTGTGTGTGTGTGTGTGTGTGTGTGTGCTCGTGTGTGCTCGGGTATATTCACTATCGGTGCCTGTGTGTTCTATGAGTGCTAAAATTTATTTTTGTGTATGTGTGTATGTGTGTCTGTGTGTATATGTGTTTGTGTTCATTTCTCTTTGTGATGAACACTTCTCATGTGGTCAAACGCCATGGCGAAAAGGAAAAACGGGAATATGAACGACAGGTTTCCGAGGTATGTGTTGGCGTTCTTGATGCTATACACCAACACTGCCATGGCATTGTTTGTTTGAAGATGTGGCAGCCTGCTGTAGCAGCAACGTTGACCACTGGGTAATATATTTCCTGAATGGCTCTAACCCTGACTGGGGAGAGGGGAGGGGACGTAAGTTTGGCAGTGCACTATTTAGAAGCCACAGGATATATTTTTTAATTTTATCAAAGGAATTTCATGGATTTTCGGTCGGTTTGTGGGAAAAAACCAGTAGGGTGTTTCAAGAATAATTAAGACAAGTGGCAGTCCTGGTAATGGATCGTCTCTGGGCATGGGTTGGCGGTGTTAGCTGACTAGCCAGTTACTTCTTCCTCTCCACTGTGTAGTACCTGTTTCTGACTTACTAGCTGCATGTGCGGGCAGCCCTCTCTGGAACGGGTGATCCCTTTGTATTCCGTGCCTGTACTCGTCAATAACTGCTTCACCACATCACTCAGTGCCGTACGTTTGCAATCACAGCGCCTCAATATGACTTGTGATCCGGTTGTCAACATATTGAGACTCTATGCTTTCATCAACCTACTGTCCAGCAAATGATCCTTGAACCCCACTGTTGTTTACTACTGTTGTTTGATACTGTTGTTTGATACTGTTGTTTAATACTAGTAATATTCACTGTTTCACTGTGTAGTTGGCGTCACTGGCGCTACTTTTCAAAGTGCTATTTGCTCTATACTTTGACCGCCAAATAATTATGTAGTTGGCGCCACTAGTGCTATTTTGGCAGTGTTCTGACCGCCAAAATGCTGGTTATAAGGACTTGCTTGCTACCTTGCTAATCACCATTGTATTCGACTTGAAAACTAATGGTGCGAAAGGCCTAGTCGAAACTATATGGCTTCTGTGCTTCGTGTGCTGATCCTTGGATAACATACAAAACAATTGTAGTGTTGATATTCAGATCACAAGTTCATTTTTGTCAGTTATGTAAAAAGAAGAAAAAGGGATGTTCTTCAGAGAATATTCTAGGTTCGAGGCATTATTTTGTTATTCTCTTTCAACGTTCTATACAGAGCAAGGAAAAGACAAAGATGCTGAACGAAAAACTCTTCAGGGCCGATTTGCAGTACAAGATTTCCAGGAAGGGATACGAAGAAAGAGTGACCCAGGTACGTATGATGACTGTATGCAGGTGAACTATAGTCGTGGCCACAGAAATCCACACAGCGATTCAAAATCAGCGCCGCCGGCTTTCAAAATTTCTATTACTTCATGCGCTGTCCAAAAGTCCATCCGAGGGCTGCAGGAGCCTCGTGAGCCTTGTTGCTGCTTTTGGCTATTGAGTCGGATTTCTTTGGCTATGACTAGAAGAGTGAACTGGCAGGATATTATTTAAATTAACGAGAGAGCTTGGAAGCTCAGCGCCCTGCGCTATGTTTTTTTGCCTAGCTCATCGTGCATGTTATCAGAACTCATGGACATTTTTTTCCATTGATTGGCTACATCATAATATTGCAAAAAAATTTCAATCAGTTTTAATATGAGGTAGGCAAAAAATTCCAGAAATTTACTGGGTTATATAAAACTATTGCGGTCTTATAGTGTTTTAGGTCGACCATGATGGCTACAATGCCCAACCATACCACAACAAACTGATCGGCTTCATCATTGTATTACAAAAAGTTTCCATCTCTTCGAATAACATGCACGATGAGCTAGGCAAAAAAGCATAGCGTAGGGCCCTGAGCGAAAGAATTAAGCTTTCTCTTTGCATTCGAGGGTTATACGACACCGTCTACCACTTTGATGACCTAGGAAAAAAAAGGCATAGTGGTGTTATAAATGTTTCATTTCTCATATCTTTTTCAAAACGTAACCTAGGATTCGAACCTGCACTATCGCCCTGCATGCATTCCCCGGACACCGTTGCATTCACACGGTACAGGTACGCAATAGCGCCAGGCATGCGGACGGCAAAAACAAACACGGAATTAAAGCTGTGTGGACTCTTTTGCATGGCAAAGGGAATAAACTCTCTTTGCATTCAAGGGTAATACGACACCATCTACCACCTTGATGACCTTGGCAAAAAAAGATAGGGATGTTATACATTTTTCATCTCTCCTACTTTTTTAAAGGCATAACCTGGGATTCGAGCCCGCAATATCGCCCTGCATGCATTCCCCCGATACACTTCGCATACATACTCATTCTTCCAAGTTGCTTCACGTTATTATCTTGCATTTGACAGTCCCATTTGAATAGTGTGACCAGCTGTCTTTCATGGTACGGTACGGGATAGTGCCAGGCATGCCGGTGGGCCGCGATGGCACAAACAAACAAACACGGAATCAAAGCTGTATGGACCCTGGCTAGTGCCAGACGTTACTGAAGTAACGTCTTTGCATAGCTACGTGAATTATTATATCTTTTCGTCTTGGAGTACAAATTGAAAAGTGTATCACTACAGCTATTTTCCGTGAGTGTATGTTCTCCCCTTTGTACAGAACAAGCTGATCTACAATCCATACTGAGTTCTACTGAAGACAACTCTGGGTGGTGTTCTGTAAAGAATTCTCAGATGAATGGTATTGGATAATGATTTAGAGGTGGTGACCAAATGTTGACCTGTCCTACATATTGTGGGCAAAGGTTCTGTCAGCAAGACGTGGTGGACAACAAACTTTCTTTGTACTCCGACTAGTCAAAGTTTAAATAATACTGGAAATTCATTTTTTACTATCGTTTCATAACTCCATCGCCGACTGCATTTGCAACTCTAGTTAAGGACTGGCACTGATTCCTTGCTCTTGTTACCAATCAGCTAACCATGGACCTGGAAACTGCTCAGAAGAAATGTAAAGATCATCGGACATCTCTACAGGACCAACACGACTTGGAGACGGTAGGTGAACAAGCCCTGAAGACGAAGTGCACATTAATGCTGTGTGCGTGCGTGCGTGCTTGTGTGCGTGCGTGCGTGCGTGTAGGTCCGATGTGCACTCTAGTGCGCGGGAATCCAAACTTCAGGATTTTATCGGTTTGCACCGTAAAGTAGAGTAATTCCCCCACTAGTCACAACGGAAATACCAGTCAGCTGTTCCATATCTTATATATCAGAAGCTACTCAATCTGCGGACGGCATGCTGTTTTGTCCTTTGTGGACTCATCAGCACAGTACAAAGACAATGAGGCTGAACCTCACAGCAATGAAAAAGTAAAATTTCCAAAGCCAGATTAGAACCAGGCCAGGGTGTTCAAACTGACAAGTCAGTGAGCTCTGCGTAGTGCAAAAATGCAAAGGCACTATCCCGCATGAAAGTGCTCAACTACTGCAAGAGCAGGAACGAAATACCCAATGTGAGTATCAGAAGCTATGTAGTAAAGTATTGGTGTTTCTCCCCATCCGTTTCCTCCATCTATCAGGACAATGTGTGTTTGCCCATTCGTTTACTCTTTCCCAACAGCTTGATCTGGAAAAACAATTCCAGTCTGATCTGAGAGCCAAGCAAAACAGGGTGAATGCACTCGTTCAAGAGAGATGCCTGCTCCAGAAAGAGTTGAAGGAAGTGAAGGACAAGCTAGCCCTGATCGTCAACAAGGATAAAGAGGTACTTAAATACAGATTACTACAGAATCCCTCTACCTCAGTCTCTGTGTTGCATAAGCTCACAGTGCAGAGCCAGATATCATAGTGCTATAGGGGCAGCAGGGGAGTAGCTGATCCCTCCCCCTTTGGGGGTGGGGGGGTGGGGGTGCGACCGTGTATGTGTAGGATGGCTGGTGCATGTCATTCATCATAATAATTATCATGGGCATGCTGAACCCAGGTCGAAAATTTTAAGGGGGGGGGGGTGCACGAGCCCCGAGTGCCCCCATATGGCCATGTGGGCTACGCGACTGAGCAGTATTTGTCCAGAAACCAGATACAATGTCTGCAGTTTTCGTCTAAAGGTCAGACGCTTTCCAATTCTTTTGGATTGATCTCGAATGGTTATACACTTGCCTACACTTGCCTGGTTATACACTTGCCTGCGAAAGTCTACAAAATTCCCGACCAGTCCACTGCCTTCTTTGTTCCTTGTCTTGATCCTGTCTAGCCATAATATTAGCTTTATGCAAGGTTTTTTTCACTGACTTTGGGATGCTCTTTTCTTAGCACTGTATTCTCACACTCCATGGCAGCCATTCACACTTAACACTTCCCTGTCAAAACGATCACAGGGTCTACATACTGCAAACGTCAGTTCTCTTAAAATCTCAGAATAAAAAGTACAGCATGACAGGCGTTTCCAAAGAACACATATTTTAGCAGTGATCACATCTTCTGCGTGATTTTCTTGTTTTGTGCGCATACAGAGCAATGACCTGGTGTTGAAGTTTGCGCAGCGCCAAGCAGACTTGCAGAAGCAGGTCGACGCTCTTCAAGACGAGCAGGCAGAGCAGCGAAAGCAAAGTTTAGAGCATGCGGAGGAGATGAAGAAAAAAGTTGTTAGGGTTAGTGATAAGTTGTGGCATGAGCTTTTGCATCGTGGAGATCCAGCAGTGTAATGGCTGCTTTTGCATTGCCATTGTTTTCAATTGTCATTGCGGGTCTTTGCTTTTAGAAAGGTCCTTAGGAAATGTCCTGGTTGTAACAATTTGTTCGTATTAGAGGGATTCCAAGCTAAATAAGGTTTATCAACTCTATACAAGTCCGGCACAGTGGGACAGTGGGTTGGTCTAAGACCATGATTGAGAAACGAGATGTGCCAGGTTCAATTCCTGCTTGGAAGCGGAAGAATTTTTTCCACCGTTAATTGGGAACTCGTGGCCTGGCCTGGCGTGAGTAAAACATGGATGTGGCAAATGGGATTGAGGCCTTTGGCCCCTGGTTGATGGATCTGATCTATCCTCCCCCACCGTTTCGGAGTCGCATCTGACGCCTGATCATGGGGTGGTGGCGTCTCACGGAAGTGGAAAGGTGGTTCTTGACCAGGGAGTTGTACGACTCTTTGTTCTTGACCTGCCCGGTACGCGAACCCGTCGAATTTTTTGAATTTTTTAATACAAATCACCGAGAAAAACCCCGTGAATTTGAGAGTTTGCGCTCCACTTACGGAAAGTTGTCTACGTTGATTACGTATGTAGGGCTCTACTGACGGAAGTTCTCCGTAAATGGACTGCGGTACAATTGTATGGCTCTCTACGAAGGTCGTGCACTTATGCATTCGGAGTTGCCAAGGTCAGCTTAGCGGTTCGAAACTCTGTATGGCAGAACACAGATCCGCATGCAGTACACGTAAGACTTTTCGTAGATCAACTACATTTTTACTAGCATAATTACATTGTAAATAAAAGGGGGGTTTGTCAACTGACAACCGCTCTATTTGTGTGGAACCTATCTATTCTCCAGAACATTTTTTTGCTAGTCGTTCAGCACTGGATTTCATGCTCATTTTTTCATGTTGATTTTTCACATTGCACGCAGATAAGGCAGCTAGAAGAAGAGGCGAAGCAAAATGCTGAGGAACGGATACGGCTGGCATATCGTCCAGAAACTCGCAGCGGGGGAACTCAAACGAAGGCACCAATGACTATACGCAATGTGCAGACGCAGGCGTGTGATCAATCCCCACTAACCCAGGAGGTATGGACGCAAGCTACTATCCCTCGACCAGGGCGCACTGTATCCACGCAGACAGATCCGTTGCGATCCCCTCGGCCAACATTGACGCAACAACCTCTACCTCCGCCGCCACAACACATACAGCAAATGACTCTGCCACCGCGCCCTGCAGCGCCTCCGCCTCCTCCAATTACGTCATACCCTATAACTTATTCACAAGTGGCAAAGCCTTTCCAGGCCCGAAAGTGCACCAAATCCGTTGTAAACATAGGCTTGCGCCACGGCGAAACGATAGAGCGTCTTATCAAGGACCGGCAAATGAGTCCGAAAGCTGCAGTGAATGGTATGCTGGTTTCCCGCATTCCCCGCGATAGCCAGCTGCCAATATTGGTATCGGCGCAAGAGATCACAGAGTACTCGATGGAGAGACCGACGAAACGCCACGGCAGCGACGATGTTTTCCTGGCAAACCGTCCTTTTGTCAATCACAGACCGACCACGAGAGGGTTTGTGAGTCAGCTGCCTTGTTTCGGGCATTTCCGGGCAAGAGGCAGTCCGCTATCCCCAGCACGCCCTGATCAGCAAACCATCAAGTTGCCAAGCCGGCAGGCAAGGCCGAGTGGATCTAGTGTGATGCACCAAAAGCGGAACCTGACGTCTGTGAGAGCGCGAAGAATGCCTTCTGTGAGGCACCAAAAACGAAGTGTCCCTTCGGTAAGGCACCAGAAGCCAAGTGTGTCTTGTGGTGGAGTTGCAGCACGAAAGGCAAGTCACCCTGTTGCGCCCAAGAAGCCATGGAGGTGAAACACCATCATGTTCAGCTTACTTCCGACATACCTTCTCTCTCTCCATCCATCTCTCTCTCTCTCTCTCTCTCTCTCTCTCTCTCTCTCTCTCTCTCCAGAAAACTGCTTCAGAGCTCTCTGCTTGCCCTCACGTTGATTACGAGGGAAGCATTTACGATAGGAGATATTGAGAGATGACTGAGAGGGAAGGTGATGTTGAGAGATGACTGAGAGTGACCGTGCTTGAGCAGCTGTGAAAAGCATGTGTGAGATAATCAGCGGCTCTGGCAATCCATTGATGGACTACCCCGTTGTCTCTCACCTGTGGACAATTGTATTTCAATCATTGCCATTTCACTGATCTGCCAAAGAACGGGAGCCGTGAATGTGAAAAGTATCAGTGAGGAGTTCATACGTCTTTCTGGGAGCAATTTAACACCATGCCGGGTGGCCAGCTTCGGCCAGAGAAAGGTGCATCTATGGATTCTATTTTTGTACAGCCAAATCAATGGTTTGAGTGAATCCCTATCACAACTGTTAACGTAACATTGTACGTTTTCATAACCCATTTGACCTGAAGTTGCGCTTCAAGTCAATAATAATGGGCACAAGTGAATTCAACCTCTCTAATGTTTCGATTTACGCCTTCACTACTGCTTTGGAATGGAAGGCAACATGTATTTATTGAGACTGTATTAAATATTAAAATAGTGAACATAATGAGCCTCCCCCCTCCCCCCCCCCCCCCCTGGAGGCTCGTTTCCTGCAAGGCGCAAATACTTCATCCTACTGTGGATTGTGTCTGATGTTCTGCAGCCCAATTGCGTCAAGCCATTCTACGTTTCATTGTAACTGAAGTGCATTGCTTTTACGTTAGCATGCATTTGTGCTTCTAAAACGATTTGGTGCTATTCATACTGCCGTCATGCATGTATACCACTGTAGTGTCCATATCCAATGTTATATCCAATGTTAGAAGTTTCGTGAAACTGTAGTACAGCCCCATGCTATGTTGTTTTGTCATCAACCACCACACCATAAAATGCGCTCTCCAGCCGGCCCTTGGGGGTGCCATGTAGTTGTTGCGTTCATGCTTTCTGGTGATACATGACTGTGTATCTATCGGTGTGCTTGGTTGCTGCCACGTCTTTCCCGACATGCTTATGCTATTGCCATGCTGTGTTTGACTGGGTTATAGCCAGCTCTTATTTAAATGTGCCTTCAACTTTATAATATTAAATTTGAAAACTCCAGGGGACGAGTGTGTTGAAACCTCCATCCCAGTTTATTGTATTTTATTTTGTATTTTATTATTTTACTTGGGCATTCCCAACAGACCCTAAGGTCTTCTTACAGGGTGCCTAGTTTATCCGTGCACACCTGATGAGCTCTTCTAATCTATACCTCGAAACGATCATCATGTGAACATGCTACTTGTTACTGCTGCATATTGTCCATTTAAGTGTCCTAGTCGAAGTACAGGGCTGTACTGAGGCGTTGGGTTTTTGATGGTTCGCTTAGCTTCTCCTCCATTTGATCTTTGCATCTTTGGAGCCACGCCAGTTGTGTGGTATGATGTTATGCGTCCTTGAACCCTGGTTTGTCCGTATTGTCTAATATTCTTGCCAGTATCGCAGCGTCATGCGTGCACATCCGCCAAAGTCCTTCACAGCGGAGACTTTCAGTTTGTGCTTGTCTTGGTTGCGTGCATGCGTGCACATCCGCCAAAGTCCTTCACAGCGGAGACTTTCAGTTTGTGCTTGTCTTGGTTGCGTGCATGCGTGCACATCCGCCAAAGTCCTTCACAGCGGAGACTTTCAGTTTGTGCTTGTCTTGGTTGCGTGCATGCGTGCACATCCGCCAAAGTCCTTCACAGCGGAGACTTTCAGTTTGTGCTTGTCTTGGTTGCGTGCATGCGTGCACATCCGCCAAAGTCCTTCACAGCGGAGACTTTCAGTTTGTGCTTGTCTTGGTTGCGTGCATGCGTGCACATCCGCCAAAGTCCTTCACAGCGGAGACTTTCAGTTTGTGCTTGTCTTGGTTGCGTGCATGCGTGCACATCCGCCAAAGTCCTTCACAGCGGAGACTTTCAGTTTGTGCTTGTCTTGGTTGCGTGCATGCGTGCACATCCGCCAAAGTCCTTCACAGCGGAGACTTTCAGTTTGTGCTTGTCTTGGTTGCGTTGACCTTCCCCTCCTAGGTTTTCATATAACTCAGAGCAAGACAGTTTTTTTACTCGACTCGTGAGTTCCTGTGGGAGTGCGCAGCCAAGATGTGCTAGAGCTAATAGTCAGTTACTTGTAGAACGTCAGTATTGTCGGTCAGTTTTGTGCAATGTTATCGCTGATTGTCAAGTAGCTGGTGGTGTCAGTGGATATTATAGCGTAACTTGTAGTTCCGTGGTCCTTTTCTTTATTACAAAGGTTTTATAGTTTTCATTGGGCAGATCAATCCATATTTCTTATGGAGTCGTGTTAGCTTCTGGATCCGTAGCTTGAGCATAATAGCAATGTAAATTTCAAGAATGTGGCCACATCCGGGAACCATCAACTCCTCATACCTCTATCAAAATTGCTGCACAGATCCAATTGGTACATCGATCCTGGCCTGTATTTCTAGAGGGTTAGTGTTGGGAGTCTGGGACCGTGGCCTTAATAGTAACAATACACAACCATTTACAAGTAAAATAATGAGTAAGTGTCTGTTCCTGGAGCACAACTATGCATTCCTTTCATGAGATGTGACAGATAGTACTGCGCGTTGTCATGTTCAGCTGTTCGCTGACGTGCACTGTTTTTAGCTCTAACATAATAATATTATTATTATTATTATGCCTCGAACATCTACATCTGACCATGAGAATGGATGAAGGAGGTGACAGATAGTGTTCACACATCAACATGGGATTCGTCAGTGTGTGGCGATCTGGGGCACAGCATACTTATCTAGTTAGGAATGCAAGGAGAATGCGGAGCGTTTCCGCGTCGTCTGGGCGAACCCATTGTCCAACTGTTGTCTAGCCTAGGGACGTCAGACTACTAGTAATGAATTTACTGCTAAGGTCAATGTTTTTTTCGGGTCCGATAAGAAGAACTTGTTTCAAATTGGATTATTCATACCGATCGTGATACCTCGGTATGATCTTTGATCTTTACATGATCCGGGATCTTTTTGCTTGTTCAATCAGATCTTGGAATCATCTGGGTGTTGGTACATGTATATGCATGGCTACGGGTGACGCACTTGAAAACGCCACGTGTCTTTGCAAACTCATGGTGACATTCGTCCCTATCTAGGCAACAACATCTAGATTCAGACCAATGTACCTGGCTGGGTGTTTCAATTCACTTCACCTATACAATAAGCCAAGCTTGCTTGGTGATGTCAACGCGAACAAGCATAATAATAATAAAATAATAATGCATTTCCGTTGGGTTACTTTAGCAGCGATTAACAAGAACCTAAGCCACCCGTGGATATTCACTTCTAGCGTGTGTTGTTTCCACTTTACACGACTTAGTGGCCAGTGTGTAGATGTGGGGAAAAATTTCCGGTGAATTTGGGTGGGTCGATTTGAATCAACTGATGGCGCGTTTGGTGTCAAGGTTGTAACACCGCCAGCAGTGACTGTACCAAAACCTGAGAGGAGCAAAACACACAGAGCGTCTGAGAAAAAAAGGAACGCTATCGATTGATTGTCACTGATTTGCGATGTGACATTGTCCGAACAACCATCATTCAATGTTCATGTTTCTCCAGCCATGGTATGCATGGCCTGCCTCTCAGCAGGAGACCGCTTTAGGACAGGGTCAGAGCCTTTGTTATCCGCTTACATGACGGTAACTTCAAGAGTCACCATTACTACTCAGGAGAAGGCCAAAGGTCAGAACTCAGCGAGAGGGACAGTTTGGGGCATTCTTCACGACTGTGCAAAACGAGACCGGAGACACTATGCAGTGTACTTGGAGAGAAAAGGGAATAGTACCGTACCGGTGTTAGTAGCTAGACAGGTGGCCGTCCACCATTGCAACGACTCCAATCACAACAGAAATGTTTTCCAAACAGTTTCGGAGCCATGTACTACTAGTAGGCTGAGTATGTGACTGGTCATTCACGTTCCACGCCCAGCATTTCCGTAACCGAGATACAATGTCTACATACGCCACAGCAAACAGCACATCCATTCATTAGCTCGGTAGCTGTCAAACCCTACATCATGTACTTGTACTGTCATGCATAAGCAGTTCGGAGTTCGTTGTACATGTGCGTGTTTTGCTTGTCATCGGCGGCGTTCGCAGCATTCAACAAAAAAAGGCGATGTCACTTTCTTTTCAGATACGTAAGGCCCGCGTTTGACATGTCACAAAGGTGACTGCCAGACCCACATTGACAATGCACATACATGTACAAGTGAATGTGAACGATCTTGTTTGTTGTCTTACGTTATACATGTACGTGCACAAAGTCTACGCGCGGCCATATTGCCCTACGATAAACTTCGGCTTGTTTCTTGGTTGAGAAAAGGGTTCTCTATCGGTTCGTGGGAACAGAAAAACGGAGCAGCGGCTAGCCCTGGGACTTACCCACTCGATTGTAACATAACGTTTAATTGAATGCACCGTGGATTGTATAGAATGTACAAGACTCGTAGAATAGTTCGTTTCCTCCACGCCTGCCTACATTCCCCGTAGCTTCATACGTTCTGCAGAATGAAGGAGAAAAGCAAGTGCATGCATATAGTTAGGAAGTACCTACTATGCTGTCTGATGAAGTGTTCTGACACGAAACTCGGAGTTACAGCGGAATGAGACGTTTTTGATTCATTGCTGTGTAATATTTGTAGTTAGGAAGTACCTACATAGGTGTGTTTTTGTTTTATTCCTCCATCCCCTTCCCTGTTCTGCGAAATCCCTCACGTGAATCAAAGAAGGCGTTACCGCCTGTTTGTGCTGCAGTTGAATTTTACAAATACACGCAAAATTCAAGTCTTTCTGACATTGCCACACGAACTTGACAACAGAAGCAGCTTTCCGTATGTGCAGGTACATTGAGCCATGGTGTTTTTTATTTTATTTTTGTGAATCCTTCCCGGAAGCAAATGCTGGTTTTTATACATCTGTGTAATTATTCAGCGTTATTTGCAATGATAATACATACTTCACTTTTCTGATTTCTTCTCCAGTGTATGATTTATTGCATTTTAAACCATTGTGTTAATTTTCCCGTAAAAGAGGCCTAAAAAATACTTCAGTACTTCCTCCGCGTCATCGAAATTGTCGCAGTTTGACTTTTGATATAAAACGGGTTTTTTACTCACCAGCACTCGTACCAGAGGCAAGGAATCGGACATAGGCGACGGTCATCAGTATAGGGTGACGGCAAAGTTCTATTTTCTGTTATTGGAAGCTGGAATTTTTGAACTAGACGCAATTTCTTCGCTGATGTCGCTGCGATGGTAATTTCGACTCGCTGAGATCAGTCAGGCGTTTCAGCCTGCACATATCTCGTGCTTATGGCCATTCACTCAAGCCTCATCACTGTTTTACCTTAGCTGGGGTGAGAATGACTTCGTGGAACAAGTGGCAGCGCTTGGAGAAACATCGAGGGGTCAGCAAACTAAATGCCTTCACCAGCGATAAAATTTGTCGCTCTGGCCGAGACACTCAGTACATGATTGTACCTGCAAGAGCCGTGTAGACTCTACACGTAGTGCT